TTTTTAGACGTCCGTTACGTTGGAAATATTTAATGTATTTCAGCATTGGCTTTTTTATGGTAGTTTTGTTTTAGTGAAGAACTGTGTTTTCAGATGCCGTTCCGTAAGAAGTTCTCTGACCTGTTTTTTGGCTAGTTTCATTCTAGTTCGATTGTGTGTTTGGATTTAAATTGAAAATACTTTATGTATCCTTCATTGGTTGTTTTTTTAGCTCACTATCGAGTAAAAGAGTGAAGCGTTTTAATTCTGTTTATAGCAAGTATCGTTCGAAATATCACTAAAGCTAATTCAAAATCCTGGCCCGTTTAATTATTTATCAAGTCCACTTTTTAAACATTAAAACTAACAAACAGAAACCGACCTGTCTCAGGATCCAACTGGGTTGGTTCTGATTATCAGATGAGTACTTTATAAACTTAGGTAGATGTGAGAAAAAAGTGTCACAACTGCAATGGGTAAGTTTTACCACTGACGGGTTTATACTCAGAACGCCAAAATTATTTTTATTTCCAGCTAGCCAAGTATTGTATACTTAAGCCTCTTCCCATGAATCATTCTATAACCACTTCTGGAAGACGAGTACTTGTAGACGTATCAGAAATGTCTCATCTTGCCGGTTCATCGAATTCGAATCTGGTTTAAAGTAATTGGAAGTGTCAACAGGTTGGGATGCGATAGCAGGAAACAGCCTTCAATTGGCAATGAATCAAACAACAGCTGACAGGTACATGTCGTTATAACCAAGGCGGAGTGTTTGTGATTGTGGTTGGTCGTGATCGGATTGATTTTTGAGGATTCTTCATCTTGGTGTTGTGAAGATCTGTGTGATGGAATGAAGTAAATATAAATATTGACTTTAAGCTTTATCCGTGCTCGCGACGGAGTGTGAAGTAAATAAAAGTCCTTAGATTTTTCTTTCTTCGCCTCCCTTATTCCTCGAATGTGAGAAGACCTAGGGCAGAGCACTCATTATGCTAACTTTTACATTTGTGTAGGTAGATGAATCAGGTCTTACGTTTGGCCAATTTATCTTATATTGTTGCTCAATCTTTAGGTTGGTAAAATCGTTGACATTTAATTCTTGAAATGTTATTGTTATTGTATTTTCTATTTGGATTCATAAAATGTTTCTTCATTGATTTCTTCTAGGGGCACAAGGGGTGTTGTTGTTTTGTCTGTTGATAAAAGAAGGTAACTTAAAATGTATTTATATTTAGAATTCAAAAGTTTTAAACTTAAATAAAAACAAATGCAAGAAATGTTGGGGAATTTGAATATGTTATACGTGTGATAATGCAGTAATCCAATAAACCGTTCCGTATTTTTTAGCAATCTTGACGTGGCTATACAACTTAAAAGTCACAAATTTATCAATCACCTTCAATTTGACCTTGGTATACGCGAGTCAATGAAACGGGAGTATTAATCTGTAGAACGGGAAGAGCGCTGTACACCTACTTGAAGCTCTATTTTCTCTCATAGCCTCCAGCAGGGCGACATTGATACAGATATTGATCAGCATTGCTGAAGCAGCCCCGCTCATCTTGTTAGGCACGCCCAACCAGGTTCTGCAGGACCCAACACACATTGTTATCCTCCTACTTAGAAAAGCTGCATTTCATCATAGCTCTTTAGCCAACTAATGGGGAAATAAACCGTGTTAAGGCTTTAAGTGAATAACTGGAGCGCAATAAGATTAAGGTGAATGGATCTGATACTCTGTTTCACTATGAGATTACTTATTATGAATTCTTTCTCGCCTTTCAAGCAAACAAGAGATGTGTTGCTTTTTAAGAGATTTACGGCCTCTATTACCTTGCATTTGGCTCTTCAAATGTGTGGAAACGTATTTGACAAAATCAAAGCAAGGGTTGAGTCAATTAAGTGTAAGAACCAACAACTATACTGATAAAAATTAGATGTACTGTAGCATAGATCAAAGAGAGTAGCCAACACCGGGCCACGAATCAAATCATCACTGACTTGGATTCATAATGCACTACATAGAAATATAATTACATATATGTATACAGAATTTAAAGACTATTTAAAATCACCAAGTGTCTTCAAAAGTAATTATATGTGAAAATGTCTACATTATCAATCAATATTGCCGTATTATTTGAACAATTCCTGACTCACTTTTCGCTTTCAAAGCCCTATGTTCTCCAAATGCCAAAATCTCTCCGGTATATCCATTAAAACTTATAGTCTCTTAGAGAGTTTTGGTCACATCTTGATCATCTCGCATCCCCTCGTGACTCCACAATCAAATCCTTGACTATGTAATTACGTCAAACCGTATATTACAGGTCCTAACCCATGAAACCAGTGCTACCAACCTTACACGCGCCTCCCAAACCATAAAGGATAACAGCACTTTTACAAACCTGTTGAGGTCTGATCCGTTTTTTGCCACCTTGGAAGTGGTCGATTGCGTGTCTCTAACAGGCGGGAAATGGAAGCAGAGCTAATAAGGGTATGATTGTGTTATTGCTAATCACAAACGATTTCTACGTGGAGGTCCGAGAAATGTGCCTTCGTCTAGATTGGCCTCATCAGAATATTTAGCTTCTATAGCTATTCATTAAAGGAATGGTCCTTTACAAGTTTTTCCTTGATTCAGTGGTTGGATTTCGATGTCAATGGATCCTGATGCTTTTACACCAACTACAAGTAAATTTACCACTAAATAACCCTCACTAATTGACGTAAGCTATTTTATGGTGAGAGTCATTCCGTATCCTCGGGAAGGTAGATAGGAGAGAGTGTAACTGCAGACAAGGTCGAGCGTGGTCTGGAGGTCGTTGATCAACGGGTCGTTACTCTTTTCACCTGTCCACTGTCATTCATTTGAATGGTGATGGGTGATCTTATTGGGATGGTGTAATTTATGTGTGGAGTTTAAATATTCAAATTTATTCCTTGAACTCTTAACTTTTAGACACAATTAACTCTTTTTGAACACCATGGGAATAATCGGTTCTTTTTTTATCACTTTCCTAATAGTATCGATTGCTAGAACACAATTTTATACGCGATAAAAATTTACCAAATTAGCGTATAGTGCAGTACTTTAGTAAAGCTTGCTTACTGCAATTTTGTGAAATTTATTTCGCCAAAATAAAAATACTCCGAAACCTTCCACAATAAATGTGTTCTCGACATTTCTACTACCAATTACAACGGGACAGCTCTTTAGACTATTAACATCTAAAATTGATGAGATACTTTTCATTTTCGCCTTACCTATTAAAGATTCCTATAATTAGCCATGTGATAGGGATCTTGACTGATCGACATTGGCAGGAGCTCTAACCAGAGCACTAATATGATATTCGCAGACCGCTGGGCGAATAATATAGCAATCAATCTCGGTCCGAGGAAGCCCAACACCCTGTCATTAGCCTTCCGTCTTCTGAACATCGTTTTACAAAACGTCGCCGACATCTGATAGAAAACCCACACAAGTGTACTTCAGTTTACCTAAAGTGCACAGGTTTCATTGAGGATTTGACCGCTTGTCTAAAGTTTTAATTGAATGTTGGCAAAAAGTGAATGACATGTGAAGTTTCTAGAAAGGGGAGTACAGGTGAAATGTGGTTTTAGGTTTAGACACCTGCTATAAATAGAAAGTATGACATGTTGTTTGGAGAGTAAAATCGACATTTCGTCTTAATAAAGCTTTTAACCTTGTTATATCACATAAATCATATGTAGAAACGTGTTTGGTAGCACCGTGATAACTTTTTTTGTGGTTTCTTTCAATTCTTATCTTGGTTTTCTAAAACAAGGATGTACGAAAAACGCGACTAAAGAGAGTCGCGTCTGAGCTTGATAAGACAGGCATTGCTGATTCGAGACCTTCGAGACTGGTAGGCTACACTATCTTATCACTGGTTTGCACAAGTGAGTTCTACTATGAAATAAACAAACGGATGGTGTTTATTCGTTGTATGCTCCTACCGTGATAAAAGTTCACTGTCTTCGGATCATTAATGACGGTCTATAGTGACGGTTGGTCGAATTTGAAATATAATAACAATACGAATAAACGGTATCAGCATTCTGACACATACTTTCTCCCATAAGTTTGTCAACAACCTTTATCATGTGTAAGCGGTGAGAGTAAATATACGGAAATGGGATTTGTACAATTTTCTTCAGAATTTCAAGGACTATAACATACTAAATTTTTATCAAAATCGTTCGAGCCAATTTTGGGAAAATCTGATTTTCCGTTATTTTATGGGGTTTTTATGGGAAAATAACATAATTTACAATAACTTTTGAACCGTAATTTTTACAGAAATGGGATATGTACCATTTTTTTTTTCAGAATATAAAAGATTATAACATACTAAATTTTTATCAAAATCGTTCGGGCCATTTTTGGGAAAATCCTATTTTTCCGATATTTTATGAAAAAATAATGCTGGGTTCATACACTTACAACAATATGAAAACCCAACTCAAAGATACCAATAGTCCTTGCACCTGGTAATTGGTAAAGAAGCAGTTAGTATACGTTTCTCACGCTAATTGGTGAAGTTTGCTGGTGTCAAATTCCAGATTTTATAGAAATTTTATTCCAGGTGGCAATTATTGGTATTACCTTTTTGATATTTGAAGGTACCATGATGTAATATTTCGTGATTGGTTTTTGTTTGCTGGTAGAAAAAGGTGTTGATTTGTTTACGTGTTTAGGAGAGTTTTTAAATTTGTTGCGGGTGGCAAGTTTTTAGTGTGTTATTTTGTTTTTTACATGCTTAAAGTTTCTGATATGTTGTGTTATTATTGGTAGGTTAGTGTTTGTAACGTCACGTGGGTTTACAGATGGCAGGCTCCTGATAATTTTATTATTTTTTGTTTAAGGTATCAAGTTTCTTATTTGATTGTTTTGATTGCACGTATCAGGTTCCTGATTTGATCCTGACCTGTGCCCCGGTGGCAAGTTTCAGATTTTACTTACTGACAGGACGTTACTAATTTGTCCGCAGGTGGCAAGTGAAGGATGCCGTGGCGATGAGGCTAGGAGTGACGTGGTGGTGGGTGGCTTGGCTGCTGATGCTAGCGGAGGCCAAGAAGATTGCAAACTCCATCAACAGGCAGCACCAAGGGGATATGTTCACTACAAAGGGTGAGTGAATACAAGAAACTTGGCTGGTCTTGGAGAACCTAATGCCATTAATTGAATAAGTAGCCGGTATTCTGGTCTGAATTTGTTGAATCTGACCCTCGAAGTTTAAAAGGCTTTACGATTCTTTCATAAAGGAAATGAAGAAATGGACTTTTGCATCTTCAATGTAATTGTTTTGCTCAAAACCCGTCAGCCCTCAGATTTGGTTCAGTAAGTGGTTATCAGAAGATAATGAAGTGGTCTAACAATGAATCCTCTTGATGACGTCGGAAGATGTATTATTTTAAGATCTTGATGAAGGAAGAAGCTTGGCAGAAGCCAAAAACTTCCTCTACAAGCAGATGACAAGTTTTCTGTTACGGAAAATGTGTTTTGTGCATGAATACATCAAGAACAGCTCCGTTGGCCAATCACAACGAATGATCTAAAACTGCGTCCTAGAGTACGACCCTTGTCCAAATTTAATTATTGTTATACAAGTTACGTGTTAAAATATGAGGAGGAGCTATACTAAGTTAAGGAGGCAGTTTAAACCAGATAGAAAACCGCCGTCATTCTTTCCAATTAATTCTGTGACATAATTTCTGCCGTGAGCAATGGTCATTGGTCTCTGTCAGTCAGATTTTCCACATCTTATCATTATAGTCATTGTGGTTTTACTAACCATCCTTGCTTGAAAATCAAAGTCACCCTGCATAATCAAAAATTCCCACTTAAGCACAGGTTTCCAAAATTTTAGAGTAAATTAGCAATCAAAAAATTTAGCATAGTTCTTTTGATGCTACCTTTGACTATTGATACAACGCTAATAACGATGTTAGTAAGAAAGATGGTCTAAGTTGCAAATTATTTAATTTCTTGAATGAATAAGAAATGAATGTTCCTTTCGCATGTTCCTTGGACATCAGAGCAATGAACATATAAATCTCGCTTTATGTACTGGTCATCGCACGAGCAGCATTCAACAAGAAACTAGCCAACTGTCCATGAAGCAGTTGCTCCAGTTCTAAACGCCGCCAATGGAAGGTCTAATCATCAGAACAAGTTTCTCATTAGCCAGAGCTGTCATTTATACTGTTTTTCTCGCCAAGAAGAAAATATAAATAGTGCAATTCCGACTAATTATGTTTAAATAGTTTCTAAATGAGCAGAATTTACAGTTGATTTTGATGCTTAAACATACCACATTCTTATAGTTTAACAGTTAGGCATGCGCAAATAATTTTTTTATGTTCTTCTGTGATCATTTTTGTATTTAGAGTACCGATATTTTATGTAAACTGTATTTCCTACACAATTAGAATAACTAGTTATGGAATATAGTTATCCAGCATCATAAATCTTTTCTGTATTCCCAACTAGATTTGCATAACTGACCTGATACAAATTCGAAGAATAATATCCATAAGGTAGTTGATCAAATTTTAAAATTTTAAAATGGCTACGAAGTTTTTATTAATTTTATAACCCGTCCCCTGAAATAAGTTTAGGCATTTGTACATAAGACTACCTTTTTTTCTTTACGTATTTATAATACTCGCTTTTATATCTGAAGGATGCTATCATAATCATGAACAGGATCCATGTGGCATTTGATTGATCATATCATCGAACAGAACCTGGGTTTAGAAAAAAACTAGTTTTGTCTTTAGGTGCCAAAAATGTGACATAAAGAGTTCCTTTCAGAATACCTATCGAACATTTGCAATTTTGGTTGATTCGTAAACCGAAACCGTATTGACAACTGAGTTTATATTCGGATCAGCTGACTAGAGTCGATTCATTCAGAGTTTTACCATCCATTGTTGATTCAATAGCCAATAGGTTCTCTACTCAAGGATACTACACGCCTTGACACATGTCATATTATCTGTACCGACCTAGGAACAAAATACCGTTGGACATTTACGTTCCCGCGCAAACAAACACCAGTCCCGTACGTTACCGCCATTTCCCGCATGTTGTCCATGGGTCAGTCTAGATGACGAAGCAATGACTGGCGACTGGGGATTTATGACTACGGCCAGTTTTAATGTAACATCGCTTAATTGCGGCCAGTTTATATCAAGGGCGACGACCCATGGTGGCTTACATGTTCATTTGGGACGGTCATCGTCTTTGAAGGATTCTAACATTTTAGGTTTGATGAGTAGACCAGGTCCAAAAATAAGTGTACATTTTTTCCCAAAACAATTATGTCAGAGAAGTATGTTTGTGTAGAGCAGATTGATAGAAATATCATTTTTTCCAAATAAAACCGATTCTTGGTTGAAGTATATGTAGGACTTTGGTACTTTCTTACTTAGGTGATCACAATAACCGTTATGTGTTTTGGCCTCGTCAGCTAAAACAAACAATTAGCATGGACAGAAGAATACCGTAATCTCAAAATGTGTATGATAAAAACCAAGCAAACTGCATGAGGGCTCTTTCGTTTCCTAATATTCAGTTACACACACAAACCCCATCTGCTGCAACCAAAATTATTCACATCCCCTACACCAAGAGCACAAGTGCAGGCAAGGAGCACTAACGTTCCTTAATCCGGAATATTCGGGACTTTGAATAAGACATATTACTGAAGACGAGATAACCAATGCAGACTTTGTTACTAATGTATGTTTTCTTTTCTTCCAGACGTGCCGTGTTCAAGCGAGGTGTGTGTAGGCCGAAGTAGTGGCACGGCCGCCATGCTACCTCAGCCAGCGTCTTCCGTGTGCTCCTGTCAATGTCTTCAACACCTTCCTGTCTTCAGGGACGACCTTCATATCTGCGTCGACGATATTCACGGTGAGTACACGGTGTTTACGCTGCAGAGGACAAGTAACACATCAGGACGAGGTGCTGAAACTCGGTCAATGATTCGTTTAATCAATTAAACATTGTCTTTTTCTTTGGTAAAACACTAAGTAAAATATATAAAATAGCCACACTAGGTAAAACAGCTTGACTCCGCAAGCAACACAACAATTGGGTTGGAAAGCTTAATTTAGCTAAGTAACAAAATGAGTCCTTATAGTTTTTGTCTGCAAATTCCCTTTTAAAACATTTAAAGACTTCACAAAGGGTCACTTGGCTACAGATAATTTCAATTCCATATATGTGAAATTGGTACATTATTTTTAGTGCTTTATAAAGCTCCTTGATCTAAATTTATAGGTTTATGGTAGTATTTTTAATTTAATACAATAAATTCTTGAGTAAAAAGGGTCACAAATTGTTGGAATAAAGTGCAGACAATGTTTAAAATTAGTAAACCCCTATTCAAACAGATACAAGTTGCATATATTATAAGACAGTTGATTAATACAGTATAACATGAGTCTCAGTAGCCTATTGGACTGTTAGGAAGAATACCAAATCTACGTTTTATTCTTACACCTAGACCTGAAGTTGAGATGTAGTCAGGGCGTGCGAGCGAATTCAGGTGTTGACCTGGTGAAGAGTCTTCATTCTAGTGTTTACACGGCAAATGCTGGAGTTTTGTTCCAGTCATGGTCCTTGAGGCTCTGGTTTATCTTTTAACAATTCCGGTTACACTATAGCGGCTCTAACATTCCTTCTTGCCTTTTCGTAAAGCATGTAGGTCAAACCAGATAAATTTGATGAAAATAATTTAATTGATCTGAAAAGACCAATCCACCAGTCTACATACGGGGTTTACAGAACATCAATCTTGTTTTAAAGTTCATGTCTTCCCAAGTTGTACAGATTTGTGCAAAATGCAATTTCGCTATGACAAATGGACGTCTGCAGTTACTTTTGTGTTTGTGAGGTCTCATTACCGCTGCCATCAATAACATGTGATGAGTGCAGTAATGAACCTGGACCCTCCAGCCATTGGTTTAATGTCGAGTCACGTAACTTGGTGACAGTCCAAATTTAAAAGGTCACGAGGTTAAAAGTGGTCATAGTTGTATTTCGTGGTCAAAATTACATAGGTAATAATTATGTTTCGAGTATTGCCAAGTTCAGAAACGCTGTTTCGTCTAAATGTATGTGGTCAATACTTTTGTGTTAATATTGTGTGTTTACTTTTGTGGTAAATACTAGCTACTTCTAGTTTAGCTAGTGAGCTAGCTTAATTCAAGTTGTTCACACTTTTTTCTACCGAACAGAAAATATGTTTAAAACGTAAATTAATAATCTAGTTATTTTCATTTAGTCAAAACAAGAACTCAGCTTAAAAGTCTAACCTCGCTCTACACTATTGATTTCATCTTTGGACCAAAGTGTCAATCTCTCACTTCTACCTTTAAAAGAATTGAAACTGATTTTTGTTACATTAAGGGTCAATCCTATCACAGTGTACAAATAACTTAACTTGTTTTCATCAAGTATTGTGTAAACTTAAATAACATGCCTAAAGAAAGAACACACACTATAATTACCACCGTTATGAATATAAGGATAAATCTATTCCGTGTCACGCTTACCCACTCACAACATATTTTGCGTAAACTATTTGAAGAGTGACTCAATATTACTTTTCCGTGTTACCACTAGTTGAGGACTTGGAACTTTCGCAGTCAATGAAACCTTCGCAACACATCTATATTCCTTAGATTGTCGAGATGATCAAAATGCCCTTTCCCTACCCGGTCCATTAGCCTACTCTCCACAAAACAAACTGCTTTCTTCAGACGAGTTCTGAGAAGAATCGCCTTGTCTGGTGTCATTGAAGCTCGCTTGGCTTGACGTTCTGCAAGCTGCAAGTGAAAGTTTAACATTTCAAACTTGCACTTGTCTCGCTGAGTGCACATTTGTGTTAATGGGGGTTCAATTTATTGTCTGTTGATGAACGCTGTGTTGTATATTCAAGAAACGGTTGGATTAATTCCAAATCATTAAAATTTATCACTATATTTGGAAATACATGAGTCAAACTGTAGGGAGTCAACAGATAAGGATTGTCATTAGATGAAAAATCAAGTAATCACAATCCACAGGGAATTAATGTTTACGGCTCAATTTGACTAAGGTGAATTATTTGAGGGGTTTTCAACTTTGGTTAACTTATCAGCTTCCCAAAATAATGCCTTCCAAATGTTAAACTGTAACGATTTCGATTATCCTGAAATCTTTACTGCAGTAATAAATTCAAGCATTAGCTAAGTATTCGACTGCTAAAATCTGCCGAAAATCCACTCTGATAATTGAATTCGTGGAATTCGCCTAATTAGCTGTTCTGGGTTTTTATACTTTGCGAATTCCTTTCCCTTCAAGGTTTCCTGAAACAGTCGCACAGTTTTTATGTCTTTTCTGTTAAATAACACATCAACTAAACCCGCTTTTCGATATTTCGGGTAGTTAATAGAGATATTTAACAAATACCAAACCCGGATACAAATGTCATGTCAGTCCAGAGAACTCTTTGTGTTTTAAAAACTGTGTGGCCATAAGGATAAATTAGGAAAGGATTTGATTTTTTTTTAATTGAACGAAAAAAACAACTTACAGTTAACTATTGCTTCTTTTATGTCACGTCAAAAATTGTGAAAGTATCGAAAAATAAAAAGAGAAAAATATAATGTACAATAGTTATATTATGTCAATGGTATAACACATTGCGATCAACTATATGCTCTAATTGAGCACATAGCTACTATTATGAGCTAATTTGTTATGGTTATCGATATAGATGGGATGTATAGTTAGTTAGTAATAACTAAGAATCCATTTTAGGTATACATATTTCCCCTTCTACGAATTTATGTTACGCCACAAAAATGATCAGAACAAAAGAAACTATAATGATTCCGATCGTTCTGGAGCATTCGGATTCCATCAGGGTCAGACCAAAGGTCACTAATAGAACATCTGAGCCCGAAACAGTGTTCCGGTGGAACAAGATGTTCAGCTTATCACAGATAACTATCTAGATAAGTGGCTACGAGACCTCAGACAAGGGCGGTTCCCTGATTGTATGTAAATGCAACGGAACTTGTCCCGCAAACCGGAATATAGTTGCAACCTGCAACCGATTGTGTGCATATAAATACTGGCTGATTGGAATGGCAACACGTATTGCAGATTTACATAAGTCGTGTTGTGTTGGAAATTTACTTAGCTGTAGTTAGATACGCTTTGGAATCATGTTTGTTAGTTATGTTTCAACATTCTTTCCAGATGCTTTGCAACAGTGCTTAACAATCTGTAGTGGAATCAGGAGAAAATTTGAGTTAATTTATTGACATTTGAGTTATTATCTTATCAACCTAACAGTCTTGTTTCTTAGTAGTATAAGTCGTACCTAGGACCGAAAATGACGTTTTGCTGGCTCGAGATAGTTTTTAAGTTCGAGACGAAGTCGATAACTTACGATCGAGCTGCAAACCATTTCGGTCCGTGGTAGGAACGCTATTTTTCACCACACTATACCCTATTACCACTATTCAATACAATAATAATGCACACTGATAGTCAACACAACTACAACTTTAAGGTTATGTGAAGAAATAACTTGACAAATCAGCAAAAATAATTACAAATAGTTGCTAGGCAGCGGTGGCAATAAAAATTTTTATTACAATGATATGTATACGGATTGTGTATTTAATATGCATTAATGTTTTAAGTAAGCGGGCAGCTGATTTTGCGGCCCTAGGGATGTAAAAACCTGCTCGGTCCCCAAATGACGTTGACAGCTGGTCAGCCTATGGTCAGCAAAACGTAACTTTCAGCCACCAATTAACGTATGTAAAACAGCTAAAAACATCATAGTGTGGTGAAAAGTATATTTTCGTTAAAAGTTGTTTGTCCCTGTTGGCGTTGACTTAACTATTGACACTATTCATGAATATTTAGTACAAAACGAATACGGTATAGTTGTATTTTATTTAAAATTATGAATAAAATCAATTTCATAACTTACCCTCATGGTAAAGTGTTCTATATAAAGTAAATAGATTATGTTCATCAGAGTATCTCACCCATTTTCATAAGACATATTTGTAAACCTACACTAAATTATTGCTCAAACAATCCCACCGGAGAAGCGAACATTCCCTTCTCAACCATTAATCTCAAACATGAATTCAATTGCCACTTATGCAATTAATAGATTCCATCAAGTACCGTACAAAGAATTACCTGAAATCGGGAACACCGTAAATTGCCGCAGTTAGGAAAAATCGGAGAGGTTGACCGAAGGCTGTTAAACAGGTAAAACCAGTGTACAACGTATTACTCGATACATCTAGCGTTGGGCGAATGTGTGTCGGCAAAGTGACGAATCGAGCAAAAACTATCGCTTAACGAGGAAGGAATTGGCATAATTGTCGAAGTGCGCCTCGCGGGCTCAGCGCATGCGCACTAGCACTAGTCCGGCCACTGCGCATGACAGCTGACTGAGGACTTGAAACTTGGCGCGGTGGTCAGTTTTTTGCACCAACTTCTTGCCAGAGTTCATGTCTACTAGTGTATCCAGAACTAGAATAAATAATAGGCTGTAGTTTCCTCAATCGGAGCACAGTGTTTCAGATAGGTTAATTGAATAGTCTGGTAGTTGTTTGCTCTGTTTTATTAAAGGGCGATTAACATTTATTACACCTTTCAAGGTTAAGCAGCCAGTTAAGGATTTGTCATGATTTTATTTCGGGAATCAATAGGTTTGTTTAATACTCGATCGTTTAAAGTATAAAAAACTTTAAATTAATTAACAAGTTCTTTTGATATTTTGCATATTTTCAAAATAATATCTTTGAACCCAAAATATTATTTTAAACTACTGTTTTTTATAAATTACAGTTTAACGATTTAAGTACTGCATAGCGACGTTTGCATATTAC